AATCTGTTTATTTCTATTTGTATATATATATATATATATAAAACACAGCCGCGGTGTTCAAAGCATGTGGAAAAAAAATAGCTTATAGTCTGGAAATTACGGTAATCATGTACAAACTAAATATTGTGCTCATCTTCATTTACTACTTCAGTAATTTGGGTAAAGCTAAGCCAAGTATAAGAAGCAGCACCTGAGTGTGGTGTGGTTCAGACACCTGCGGCTCACTCACCTCTCTGACATACTGGTTTCCATCTCCAAAACAGAGCAGGAGGTGTGGCAGCACATGGACCACGTACGGCTCAAACAGCTTGCCCAACATGTTACACAGCATCTCAAAGGCAAACAGGGATCCTGCAAGAACAAGCAGATGCTCGGTGACGTCTAGGTTATACACACCTCAGCTGCAGTGTCCTGACCACAGCGCACACCATCTGTGTGTTGTGTTTCTGCCGTCAAGTATCATCTAGAGCACGGATGGGCAACATTTTTTCCACAGGGCCAAACCAAGATATTTAAAGCAATCAAAGGGTCACATAAAAAACTGGAATATATTAAGACTGATAATCTCTAAGACATGTCCAGGCTTACTCTTGTTCCAGCATAGCATAGTTAGCATGCTTGATAAAAAGATGTCTCCTCAATACTCTTTAAGAATATTGTAACAACATATTGGTTAGCTTTAATTATACAAAAATAAAAAAAATATAAAATGTAATATGTTTGTTTTTTGGAGTCGTTAAGGTTCAGTCTAGCTCTGGAAACACAACTTAAAGAAGTTTTAGCTTTTCTTAAAAGGTCTTTGGTGTATTTCCTCTAGATGTTTAATTTAGACATCTTTTACGTTCAATAATAAATTAAAGATTTTCAGCCAATTATTAAAAACTTGTTTTATTTTCAATGAAAGATATTGAGGGCCAGAAGGACACTGTCCAAGGGCTATAGAGCTATAACAAGGTCTTGTTTTGTTGTTGTTGTTTTTTACCAATAAGTATGTATTCCCCACAAAATAAGGAGAGGTACAAAGTTGGAGGAAAATGTTTACAACCATGTCTGTGTGCCTGTCTTACCAACAGATCTTGTGCCGTGAACCACTGGATGAATTTTAATGAAACTTGCAGAAAGTAATTATTACATGCACATCGACTGATTAACTTTTGGGATCGGCCCAATTCAAGACGACCCTCTCAACTAATCAACAATGGCCAAGAGAAAATGGCTATAACTCGGTCAGCTCCACAGATCACTACGGGTTAATGTTAATGTGCTAGTAGCTGCTCTTACTATGAGCGTGACACCTTCCAGTGTTGCATGACGGGGCACAAAAGTTTAACTAAAAGACAACAACTCAGTCATTTCGCAGCTTACGATGATCTTACTCTAAAGGTGGTGTGCAATATGCATTCCCTCAAGGAATGCTACATTTACCTGTTCATTTGTAGCAATGATGACAATTTGACTGTGTAATAGTTCAGATGTTTTTCTGATCCTCACTGACCTTCCCTTCGTCTGAAGTTTTTCTTGTCCTGGATGGCGTCGGTCAGGGTGGTCATGATTTCCTGCTGTTTGAGAGCCAGGATGCCCAGACCTTTGACCAGTCCAGCCAGTCCGTACGCTGCTCCCTTCCTTTCTGCATATTTGTCGCTCTCCAGCAACAACTGCAACAGGTTGCGTACAATTCCTGCGGCGTCCTCCTTGATGGCAGGCACTAAAGGAGGCAGGCAGCTGGCCACAGACTCCTGGACCTTGAGCGGGAGGAAAAAAGGTAAAAACAATATATACAACAAGTTTTCTCTTTTAGCGAGGTACAAAGGGTTTTAACCACTGTTAGCACACGGGTTCTGTTTTGAGATGTGGTGTGAGACTTCTGTTGGGAAGTAGGGTGAGGGCTTTACCTGCTGTGACGGTGTGGACAGCGCCGTTATGAGCTTGGCCACAATGGGTTTGACCTTAGGGTCGTTTTTATCAAGGTGTTTGGCCAGAGATCCCATGAGAATCACTACACTCTGACGAACGGAGTCATAGCTGGCATCCTGCGGGGCGTTCTTCAAAAACTCCTCGAAAACTGGCAGCAGGGAGCTGACATTATCCTGACACAGACAGCAGCCACATCAGCCACAGCACAAACCAGAGGCACATACGTTGAGAGAACAAACAAGGAGTACCTTTCCGTGCGTGTTCAGGGCTGAGAGCGCAGCGTCCAGCATGCAGCGCCGCACCTCAGCATGGCGATCGTTCAGCGCATCGGGCACAAAGAAAAGGAAGAGAGGGGTGACCTGAGATTCATCCAGGTACTGCGACAGCTTGTTCAGAGTCAGAGCAATGCCACACCTGATGAAACAGTAGAAATGGACCAGAGGTCAGTGTGCAACCAGAGGAAACACTACACCCCGTCTGAATTCTTCTTGACCACAGCAGCGTTTACCTGGCCTCCCACTGGTCCGGCGGCGACTCGGAGATCATTCTGCCAAGAGCATCCAGCACAGGAGGTGGTCTCTTTAGAAGGAAACAAGATACCAGGTGAGCCCCGAGCTTCACCCAGTTGGAATAATTAGTTTAAACAAGTCTTACATAAAGCTTCTGATGGTAGAGCTCAGTTAACTGGCCGAGCACTAAGGCAGACTGCTCTCTGTACTGGGACACGGCGCTCGACAAGGCTTCTGCTGCGGCAGACCGGATGGCCTCCTCATGATGAGTGATGTCACCGATCAGCAGGGAGCAAATCTCAGGAACCAACTCCAGATCTAGAGACTCCCAAAGTCTGAGGCCGAGACAAGACGAGCGGTGAGCTACTTAATGCACAACACGTTGCCTTCACTTTTACAGTGTGAATTTACATTCTGTGGGCCGTAAAGTTAAAATTACAATAATCATTAGTAAAATAAGTTCATCTGGAAAGCCATCAGAAACAAATAACCAAAGACAAGGGACATTGTTTTCTAGTCAAGAATTTACTGAATTTTAAAAAAAGAGCATCAACAATAAGAAAAGCTCAGAATCTCCATATTACTTACTTTTCAGCCAAAGTACGTCCTTCTGCTTCAACATCAAACCTGGCAACCCAAAGCCTGCGCAGCAGACTCATCCCGCTGGGCTCTGTGCTGTCTGTAGGCAGAGCGAACTCCATCTCCAGCAGGCCCTGAGCACAGTTCCAGCAGAGAATCAATGGGAGAGCTCAGATTAATCATCTCATCTGAAGAAATGCTTCTGTTTTACACGTATTGCTCAACACGCTGTGTAAGTGATCACAAATTTACTATTACATTTAACTATTCTATTGCTATCGGTTAAATCTACCACTTGATGTGAGACGAAAAAACTTGTTGGCTTTTTTGGGTCACATTTTACCATTTTCTGTTAGCCTAATTCTCTTGTAAATAGGAACAAAACACCTTAACCACACAGCAAAGCTGTGTTTTATTTTTTAGTCTAAAATTTATGTCTTGGTTTATATTAAAGTTGTATACCAGGGTCCATGCTTCAAATCTGGAGCCTTTAGAAAGTAGTTGCAAAAAATGCATGTGACAAATGCTTTTTTATTTTCTTAATTCTTAGAACTAATATTTCATACAAAATATTATTAGGTTCTAAATCTTGTCTTTTTATTGTGATAAAATTAATTTGACCCAAAAAAAGGTTGCGTATTGAAACAAATAAATACAGATGTGTACCGAGCAATAAAACAACAGAACTGAAACAATCGATTTATATTACAGGTGGGGGGGCAGGCGGCTGTAGAGATGGAGAGGCTACATCCAACTGCTCAGCTCCTTCCCTGCACGTCCATCTGTCGGGTCTGCAGTGAGGTCGTCAGCGTGGTGGTCCAGGTTTCAATGCTAACAATCTTCAGCTAAAGGAAAGTACAAATATTTCCCTACAGGGTGTGTGTGCGTACCAGAGAGTGGAGATTAGGCCTGTTCTTAGTCCCTGTTCTGTATCTGTTTTTTAAAGTTTCTGGTGGAGGGGGACGTGGACGTGCAGCTGGTACATGCAGACTCTCCCCAGCACAAGTGTAACTACACCAGGAAAGATGGACGACTCCACTTCCTGGTTTGCAGGCTTAAAAGACTGACACCGATCTGTAGCCCATGTGGACAGGACAAAGTGTTTCCTTCCAGTATTATGTTGTCCTTTCCCCCTGCTGGTGTGGGGCATTGAGTGACTGATTTTACCTGGATTATACATTATGACAGGGCTATTCAACTGGCGGCCCAGGGGTTGAATCAGGTCCACGGGTGAACTCAGTTCAGCCCACCAATGGGTTAATTTTTAAATAAAACTAGATTTTAAAACATAAAACAAACTTAATGACAATAACTGCTGGACGTCTGGCCCCTGAGCAGTTTAGCTGAAGAGCCCTGCTTTATGAACTCGACTGTGGAACAACCAAAACAATTCTTGGCTCAGTGGTGTTTATGCAATCTTTTCTTGATGACCTCCCTTTCCAGATTTTAGCTCCTCCAGCTATTGTAAATAATTTTAGGATGTTTTTAGCCTGTTTTAATAAAACAGAGTTGAATTAACTAATGTCTCTCCAGTAATCTCTGTGTTTGTGTGACGGGAACCTAATTTGTGAAAAAAGTGTCTGTCACGCACGCCACACGCGCTGTGCGCCGCTACATCTGCATGTTCTCCTCATGTTTGTGTGGGCTCTCTCCAGGTACTCCGGTCTCCTCCCACTGACCACAAACATGTGCGTTAGGCTGCCTTCAGGCCTCCTTTCAAATACAGATCTGTGCTTTCAGTGGAATTTGTCTGGTTAAATAAAAGTTTAATAATAATAATAATAATAACAAAGTGGTTTTGACTCCAACACTTGTGATTAATATACTCTTGCAGTCGCCCAACCCTCGATGACAACGATCAACAACAGGAGGTCCACAGCTCACCCTGAGAGCAGCATCCCGGACAGAGAAGCAGGGTGAAAGCAGGGCGCTGAGCAGCACGTCTATCTCCGGCTGCTCAGCCACCGTGCAGCCGTCTCCTCCTCCTGCACTGACGCACAGGGCCGTCTGGCACTGAGAAGCCAGCACCTGAAACACAGAGGATGAAACGTCACATGTCCAAGGAGCGATCCTCTAACCCACGTGGCTGGAACTCAAGAGTCACCACCAAATAAAGAAACACCGAGTTAAACGCTAAATAAAAGACCAGAAATTATTTATGCGAGAAAACCACTAACCTTTGTAATAATAACCCTTCTCTGAAATCTAGGTTACCTGCAGTCTTGGAGCGGCTGTAGAAATAATCCTGGTCAGCAGCAGAAGCATATTTACACGTGGAAGTAGTTCTGGTCCATTCTACAAAAAAAAAAACAGCAGAACATAAAAAGTCTCTCACTATTAATTATCAGCGCTTTTCTTTTTTAACAAAGAGCTGGCAGAATTTAAAGAACATTTATCAGGATGAACACTGAAGTGTAAACTAACAACAAACATACACCTCTGGATGCCAAGTTTAACGGTGTGTTGTCTCTACCTCATCTATGGCAACTTCATCATTGTCAGTGTCAGCCCGAAGCTGGGCATGGACGTTGATGACCTGCAGAGCTCTGGTCATCATGTTCTCCGTCTCCTCGGTGCTGCCTGAAGACTCCCTGAGTGTGGCGTTCAGGAGAGGGAAGCAGAAAGAGAACGCAGGAGCAGACAACGGAGCCACATCTAATGAAAAAAATTAGAACAATACAAAGGGACAAAAAAACAGTCAGTATTACGACGCTGAGGCTTATTTCTTATACTTTTTACATAATATGAATAAATCTGACTGCTTCCTTCTGCATCTTCATGTCAACCTTAAAACCAAACCGTCTGTTCTGCTTCACAGGAAGAAAAAAAACACTTCTAATCTGAATAATTGTGTTAATTAATCATACTTTTTTAAGAACGGAAGCCAAGTTGGGACAATAAGTCAGAGTCAGTTTTCACTGAGAAAAGGCAGAAAAACTGCAGATTGTAACAGAAGTCATCACTGAGTTGATCTTAACAGATTCAGAGCTTTTTATTTCAGTGGTATGGCAAGCCAAAGGGGTCATAAACTGCCTTATTTATACCAAAACAAGAACACCAACCGTATGAAATTATATACAGCACAGCAATCCACACATAAGTAACAAACAGCTAGACTGTCTGAAAATGATGCTTCAAACCAGTGTTTCCCCTACTGTCATCCAAGGAGGGTGTCTCATCCCCCAACAGAACTGCCTACCCTCCCATAAAGATCGGGGCATTTAATAAATTAATATATGTGCACGTGTGTAGTGTAGTGTACATGTTCACGCGTAACCAATTCACTTCAGCTGCGGTAGACAGCAAAGTGATACATCACCCCCATCCCCATCCCGTGCCACAACCACCCCGGACTGTTGTAAATAAAATTTAACATGGTATGATATACTGATGGGTCAGGAGTGAAACCATTCAAGCAGAGACCTCGTTTTAACTTTGACCTGGATTTGTGACGTTGACCTTTGTGATGATACGTGTATGAAGTTTTGTTAAATTATCTTGTGAAGATCAGATGTTACAGATGGGACGAGAACATTTATGGAAGGGGAGACTATGCAATATTACATCCCACCTTCTCAAACAGACTGACATCTTTTCCACAACCATGCGATGTTTCTTTCAACATGGTTGTTTAAGAAATGAGAAGCAACTCATTGCACCAGTCGGGGTTAAATAACTTGTTGCCAGCTGAAAGATAATTGCTCATGCAGTAATTATCCAATAGGAGGCTCGTACCTATTTGCTTAGTTAAATCCAGGTGGTTCATTTTTTGTTTTTGGCCAGGCAGTGTACTTATTATTTATATATATATTAAGGCTTTATAAATCCTTCTCACATTCCTACAAACCTTTCCCACTCTCTTATAAAACCTGTCTTTGTTTTGAATTTAGCAGAGGACCTGTGCATTCACCCAGACACAGAGCACATTCAATAAGCTTTATTTTGAAAAGAATGGTGGTCTACACTCGTCTGTGGAAACGTGCTAGACAGTTTGGCAAGGCGGAACAGGAAAATCCAGGGCACAGAAACTTGGTCAGGATGAGATCACTCAGGAGCATAAGATCATCGATGGACATTTACTTGTGCAACGTTTTCTATAATCTGGCACCAGTTAAGAGAAAAGGAGGGTGCTTAAATGCTACGACCACCAGGTGAGAAGAATTATGCTGACATTCCATCCATCCATAAATTCATCCATTTTCTTCCACTTATCCAGGGTCGGGTCGCGGGGGTAGAGGCCCAGACTTCTCTCTCCCCATCCACTTGGGCCAGCTCCTCCAGAAGAATCCCAAGGCATTTCCAGGCCAGCTGAGAAACATAGTCCCTCCAGCGTGTCCTGGGTCCTCCTCTAGGCCTCCTCACCAGGGACGCGTACATCCTAACTTGATGCCCGAACCACCTCAACTGGCTCCTCTCAACATGGAGAAGCAGCGGCTATACTCCGAGTCCTTCCCGGGTGACCAGGCGAATCTCATCCACCCCTGGGGCCCTGCCACCGAGGAGCTTTTTAACCACCTCGGTGACCTCAGCACCAGAGATTGGAGAGCCTGACCCAAAGTCCTCAGACTCCGCTTCCTCAGTGGAAGACGTGCTGGTGGGATTGAGGAGGTCTTCAAAATATTCTGCCCACTGACTCACGACATCCCGAGTTGATGTCAGCAGCACACCACCTCCAATATAATCAGTGTTGGTGTACCATTCCAAACACCCCCACCACCACCACCACCACCCCCCCCCCCCCCCCCCCCCCACCCCCCGAGACGCCAGATGGACCAGAATCTCATAGAAGCCATACAGAATCATTCTCCATGGCCTCTCCGAACTCCTCCCACACCCAAGTTTTTGCTGACATGCCCTCTCTTATAAACACTTCAAACACTTTGGCGGTGACGATGATGATGATGAATGTACAGTACTGCGCAGCATGTACAGTACACACAATTTTAAAAAACAGATTTAAAAAACAGTGATACAGTAAAGTCTCAAGAAGAACATACGGTTACACTCATACTAAATAATGAAATATTTGTACACTGAACCATAACATAAAGAAAGAAAACATACCATAAAGTTATGGGTAAATGAGACTGTCCTACCTCCACTCTTGTCCTCTCTCTGCGGGACAGTGTGGTTATGCAGCAGCAGGACAGTGCGGTGAGCTGCTGTGTCCAGGTCCTCCTGTCCCCAAGCTGAGTCCAGATTGCACTCAGGCTTTATTAACCGTAAAGTCACATGACCCACAAGTTCAGCTGAAAAGAAGAAAATGAGAATGCTTCAGAGCTGAGCCGCACATATAGTCAATAAAACAACAGTCCAGTAGGCCTTGTACCCAGGAAGTGAAGGTGTTTAGGCATGAGGCAAACTCCAATGTCCAAGAAGACTTGCTGGATGCGTGGAGCAGCCAGGGGGGAGAGCAGCAGGGGCATCAGGACGTGGAGGACAGCAGGGAGCTCCCTGGTGATCTGAGCAGGTCTTGCTTTCAGAATGGCCTCAAGCAGACCCACCACACTCTGCAGCTCCATGTCCATCTGCAGAGGGAGCAGGAGGTTCATGAAGACAAACAGAAGTGAGGAAATATGAGCGCCGAGTGACTTCACTGATATTTGTCCGTTAATGAAATGTTCACTGAACTTGTCAAGTTGAAACAAGCAGAACATTTTCATTTCCTTTATTTATTCAGCTTAGTCTTGTTGAAACACAACTGTCTCATTTGCAAGAGAGACCTGGTAAATAAAAATAGAACAAAACAAAAACAGACACTAATATAAAAAAAACAGCAGCTAAAACCTTAAATTTAGAAAACAGCCAAATGCTAAAATAATCGACAGTAACTAAAAGTTAAATGTAGAAAAATTGTACATTAAAAAGCTAAGGCACATTATTTCCTATTGAGTGAAATGTCTCATATATGAACGGTGATTATAGCACAAAAAAATGTCTGAGCCCTAAAGGTGTAAAAAGAAAAGTATAAAACCAAAGAGTGAACGCTGGCTCAGCAGTCCTCGCAAAGTTTTAGAGAACAGACTTTGGCGAGCTTGGTTCCATACCCCTTGAAGTCTTTTACGAACAGCTGATTCTTTTTCCAGCTGAGTCTGAATCATTTCCTTCTGTTTGCTGGTCAGCTGCACCTCGTCTTTGATGCCTTTTTTCTTCTTTAGTTCCTGAAAAAATTAACAGAGGAACATACAACAAATTCACAGCAAATCTAAGAAAACTCCTTTATGACTCAATGATAATAGGTTTACTCTACCTCCTGTAACTCCAGTTCTATGATCTGTTCCTTGTAGGAGTAGGCCTTATTTTCTCTCTTCATGTTGACTTTCTTGGTGGTTTCCTTCTGGGCGCTGCAGCATGTTTAGAGACAAACAGAGATATATAAAACCTAACACAAGCGAGAAAAACCTGTAGCTGTACAGCTGCAGAAGAAGCTGTGTTACCTCTGGATGATGCTGTTGTCGTACAGCTCTCCCTCAGGCACTTGCATGATGCTATACTCCTCTCTGGTGACCTGCAGCAGAGCAGGCTGGGAGAGCCCCTCCACAACATGGCTGATCACACGTGGCAACAGCTTGTTGGGGGACAGGATGCTGAGGGCACCGACTGCATTTTTCACTGCCTATCATTATGAAAGCCACATATTTGGAGTTATTTTCAGACAATACTAGAGAGATACTGTCTGTCCATCCTTTACCACTTATCCACAGTTGGGTCATGGAGACAACGTATCCAAGAGAGAAACCCAGACATCCCTCCCCGCAGAAATACTTTCCAGCTTGTTCTGGGGGACCCTGACGCATTCCCAGGCCAGAGAAGAAACACAATCACTTCTGGGTCTTCTCCAGGGCCTCCTACCAGCAGGAGGAGCCAGAAAACCGCTAAAGGGAGGCGTCCAGGAGGCATCAGATGCCTGAACCGCCTCAACGGACTCCTTTCAATGCGGAGGAGCAGCAGTTCAACTCCTAGCTCCCCCCAGATGATGGAGCTCCTCACCTTGTCTCTAAGGCTGAGCTCGGCCACCCAATGAAGGAAACCCATTTCAGCTGCTGGTATCTGGATCACATTTTTTCGGTCATGATCCAAACCTCATGGCCATAGGTGAGGGTTGGATCTTAGACAGACAAGTAAATTTAGAACTTTGTCTTTAGACTCAGCTCTTTCTTCACCATGACTGACCGAAGCAACACCCTCGTTACTGAGGCCCCCAATCCACTGATTCATCTCCCGCTCCATCCTACCATCACTCGTGAACAAGATGTCCAGATACTTGAACTCCTCCACCTGAGGCAAACTCTCCCCCACAACCTGGAGGGGGCATTCCACCTGTTTTCGGTCAAGAACCATGGCCTCAGACTTTGAGGAGTTCACTCTCATTCCAGTTGCTTCACACTCAAACCAAACCAGTGCACCCTGAAGATCTTGGTCTGAAGACGTTGGCAGAACCACATCATCTACATAAAGCAGAGATGAGACCCTGAGGTTCCCAAACCAGACACCCTCCTCTCCATGACTACCTTGAGATCCTGTCCATCAAAAAAAATACAAAACAGGAGACAAGAGACAACCCTGGTGGCGTCCAACCCACACTAAGAACAAGCTTGACTTTGTGCCAAGAATGTAGACACAGCTCCTGCTTTGGTTCTACAGGGACTGGATAACTCTTAAAAGCAACCCAGACACCCCATACTCCCACAGCACCCCCCACAGATACAAGCCTTCTCCAGATCTACAAAACACATGTAGACCAGAGAAGCAAACTACCATGACCCCCTTAGCAACTCCACAAGTGAAGATTTGGTCCACTGTTCCACGACCAGGATGGAAGCCACACTGCTCATCCTGAATCCGAGGTTTGGCAATCGGTCTGAGCCTCCCTTCCAACATGCTCCCTCTTTCCCAGGGAGGGAGAGAAGTGTGATCCCACGATAGCTGGAACACACTCTTGGATTCCCTTTTTAAAAATGGGAACCACCACTTGGCTCTGCCACTCCACAGGAGTTGTCCCAGTTCTCCATGTGACATTGAAGAGATGTGTCAACCATGCCAGTCCCACAATGTCCAGAGCCTTCAGCATCTCTGGGCAAATCTCGTCCACCCCTGGCACCCTGCCACCAAAGAGCTTTTGGACTACCTTGGTGACCTTTGCCATGGTAATGGACTCGTCTTCCCCCAAGTCCTCAGACTCTGTCTCCTCAAGGTGGACAAGGTGGGTGGATTAAGGAAATCCTTGAAGTGCTCCTTCCACTGCTCAACATTATCTTCACTTCAGGTCAGCAGTTCCCCACACAAACCAAACACAGCCTGGGACAGGGTCCGCTTTCCTTTCCTGAGTCGCAGAACTGTTAGCCAGAACTTCCTTGAGGCCGAATAAAAGTCCTTCTCCGTGACCTCCCCGAATTTCTCCCATGCCCGAGTTGTTGCTTTGGAAACCACTGAAGCTGCAGTCCTTCTGGCCACCTACATGTCAGCTGCTTCAGGAGTCCTCTGGGACAGCCAAGCCCTGAAGACCTCCTTCTTCAGATGATGATGTTTTAAATTTATTTCATTCATAAAAAATAGATGAATTTTGAAATATAAATCTCAGTGGAAAGAGCAAGTTTAATTAGCACTGTGTTGTGGGGACAACTGTTTGACCATGTTGTATCTGTAAATATAAAATAGAAAGGAAGTGTGCTGTTTTCAGACCTGACTGTCAGCGTTGACCTCCAGCAGATGTGGTAGGATGGCCTCCAGATTCTTCTCTATAAATTCATCAGCTTTTATGCTCATAGATGACAGCAGAACAGGCCACAAGCCAGAGCGAGCTTGAACTGAAACAGACACACATGAAAATCATCAGTGTCGTAGTTCTTTAAGACCCAGAACTGGTCAGCAGTTGGTTCCTGTACCTATGGATGGATGATGAGCGACGATGAGGGTCTCCATAGCCAGACTCTCTGCTTCGGTCGAGTCCCCCCACTGGCTGGCAGCAGAGCAAACAACGCATAGAGCATCCAACAGGACACGAGGGGGAATGTAGCTCCGACCCAGTTCTGTAAGTTCGCCTGACTCTGACAACAGCACGTCCTGAGGCAGAACCTGACAGTTTAACAACACAGTCAGAAAATCCATTTTACACTGGAAACTTGTGATGTTTTTACAGAAGAGTACAAAACGTACTCTTCAGGTAGATACCATATTGTCTGCCGTAAACGTTGCACCGCCCTACTCATTCATTCAGCCTTTATTTATACAGATTAATCCCATTGAGCCTTGGGGACTCATTTTAACAAAGAGTGATGACAACAGTGGATAACAACAACAAAAATAGACAATCATAAAAGAGGCATACAGATTTATTTTTTTTTACAAATAAAAAAAAGGCAACCAAAAGGACAGTCAAAAGGAAACAAGTAGCAAAAAAACCCCAGCTAGATTATAAGGTGGTGCAGAAAACTAAAAACAAGAACATGTCTGCATTGGTTCTTGCCAGGAACTTAACAAATGTAAAAATGTCTACAAGTCGCATCAGTCCAAATATGTCTAATAAAGTGGAAAAATCCATAAATGTGTCACTTTGCCATATACGTCACATCTATTATGTGTCACTGCTGATGTGTCACATTTGTTATGTGTCACCACTGACAACCCGGAAATGTGAGCCGGTGTTGTGCCAAAAATCGATTGGCTGCCAAATGGCAGCCGCGGGAGCGTGAATGGGAGGACTTTAACAAGAATTTAACAAGATTGACACTTAAAAACAATTGTTTACTCAAAATTATAGTAAAGTTGTGTCTTAGTCTAACTTTTAATTCAATTCAATTCAAAAATACTTTATTAATCCCAGAGGGAAATTAAAAATGTTGTAACTCATCATCCTGGTTTCATTAAAGAGTTGTTCTGGATGCTGATGGCTGTGGGCAGGAAGGATCTCTTGTAGCGGATCTGAAGAAGCTTCTGACAAGACACTCTGTTGTTGTATGACAGTCTGATGAAGAGGATGCTGAGGGTTGTCTATAATGTTGAATCCTTCTTTGAACAATCATCTGCAAAGGTTCTAGAGGAGTCCCCAGAACTGAGCCAGCCTTCTTTATGAGCTTGTTGATCGTTTTTAAGTCACTTGTTCTGGTGATGCTGCCCCAGCAGATGATGGCAGAAGAGATAGCACTCTCTACAACAGACTTATAGAAGATATGCAGCATCTTGCTGCAAACATTGAAGGACTTCAGCTTCCTCAAGAAGTACAGTCTGCTCTGTCCCTTCTTGTAGACGGTTTCACTGTTGCATTTCCAGTCCAGTCTGTTGTCCAGGTGAACTCCAAGGTATTTATATTTCTCCACCACCTCTACTTCTTCTCCCATGATGAAAATAGGGTTGAACCTGTTCCTCCTGAAATCTACAATCATCTCCTCTGTTTTGTTCACATTCAAGACGAGATGATTGTTTCCACACCATGCCACAAAGTGGTCCACCAGTTCCCTGTACTCAGCTTCTTGTCCATCTCTGATACACCCGACCACTGCAGAGTCATCAGAATATTTCTGCAGATGACAGGAGTCTGTTTTATACTGGAAATCTGAGGTGTACAGAGTGAAAAGGAATGGTGAGAGTACAGTCCCCTGTGGTGCTCCTGATCTACTGACCACCTGGTTGGACACACAACTCTTCAGTCTCACAAACTGTGGTCTGTCTGTCAGGTAGTCTTTGATCCAGGCGATTGTTGAGGCCTCCACCTGAGTCTTCTGACGTTTCTGACAAAGCAGATCAGGCTGGATTGTGTTAAATGCACTGGAGAAATCAAAGAACATGACTCTCACAGTGCTGTCTGCTTTTTCTAGATGACAGTGAGTTTGCTGAAGCAGGTGTATGATGGCATCTTCAACTCCAAGTCCATGCTGATAAGCAAACTGCAGTGGGTCCTGATATGTGCTGGTTTGTCTAGTCAGGTGGGTCAGCAGAAGTCTCTCTAGGACCTTCATGATGTGGGATGTCAGGGCAACATGTCTATAGTCATTGAGGACTGATGGGTGAGTTTTCTTTGGTACTGGAACAAGACAGGATGTTTTCCACAACACTGGAACCTTCTCCTGGGTCAGGCTAAGGTTGAAGAGGTGCTGCAGAACCCCACAGAGCTGCTCTGCACAGACCTTCAGGACTCTGGGACCGACACCATCTGGACCTGCAGCCTTATTCCGGTTCAGTCTCTCCAGCTACTTCCTCACCTGACTTCAAGAGACGCATGGGGGGAGGCAAAGGAGGTATCAGCATCTTCTGATTTGGTTGAAGACCAACATGTAGAAGAAGAAGGGTCCATGACTGAGGTGGTAGATACAATATTTGAGGTGTGACAGGACAGCCTTGGGTCAATGGAAGGTGGTATATCTGTTTGGCTGTGGGAAAGAGAGGATGATGCTGAGCTTGTTCCTGAACTGAACCTATTGAAGAACGTTTCAGTTCATTGGCTCTGTCCAGGCTTCCATCCTTCTGATCCTCCTTCTGCTTGAAGCCTGTGATCTTTTTCATCCCTGACCACACCTCTCTGATATTGTTCTGCTGGAGCTTGCTCTCCAGCTTCTTCTTGAACACCTCCTTGCCGTTTCTGATCTTGACTTTTAGTTGCTTCTGTGTACTCCTCACTACCTTTTTTTACTTTTATTTACTTCATAAATGCACTTTGACAGTCAAATCAGCTGCATTTCAAAAGTATTTGCTGCCTAGGTGCTCTGGGAGCGCACAGACAGGGAGGAAATCAGGAAGGAGAAACGCTGCGCATTTCTTTGAAATTTCACAAGATAAGCATCTAAAACAATTATTTGTTTGCTCAACATTATAGTAAAAGTATGTCTCAGATGAACTTTTACTTAATAAATGCACTTCAATGGTCAAATGCATTTCGCCGGAGCAGTGCGGTGAAATGAAGCTGATTTGACGGTTGCTCCAGGCGAGCTGGACGAGGGTGGCAGGATATGGCAAGCCGATTGTGTCATTAATAGCCACTTTTACCAATTACATGACACAACGGCATGCCATACTACTCGGGTGCCATCTAGCAGCTGAAAATCGTTGTGTTCAATATTTTCAGTCAGAATGAATGAAAACGATCATATCTCAGCCAAAGATTGGTTTATAAATATGGGAAAAATCCATAAATAAATCGCTTCGATATACAAGTCGCAGGGCATGTAAATTATGCAAAAAAATGCGAATTATAGGGCGAAAAATACGGTAAGTGCTGCACAGATTATTCGGTTCATACTTTGTGTTTGTTGATGAACACTCGGAGTTCTCCCAGAAGGCCGTGGGCAAGACTGTATCCACCCAGGGAGGACAGCAGCTTCCTGACGGTCTGCTGGGCCCTCTTCCTCACACGCCAGCTCCGAGACAACAGAACGGTAACCGTGGCGTAGTGATACATCCTACAGAGAACAGGCAAATACAAGTCAGCTGCTTATTGAAGGCATCGTGAGAAGTACCAAAAACATATCAGTAGAGACTTAAGTTCTACTCATATTCTTTTTTAATGTAGACACTTCTTTAAACTATTTAGTACATTAATATCTGCATACAAAAATGACATCAAATGGTGAACAAGAGCGCCACACATGGCCCATTATACAATGGTCGACAAACTGCTTTACAGCAATATATAGCAATGGTCAGGGCAAGCAAAGACCTTGTTTTAACTTTGACCTTGATTTGTGACCTTGACATTGGGGTGATGACAAGTGTACACCCCCTGAACAAACGTTTGCACAGTGACTATGGGCACCAGTGACCCCCGTGACCCGAAAAGGAAGAAGCCGGTAAAGATAATGTATGGAGATATTCTGATGTGGCCTCATTATTGGAAACAAGACTCACTGTGATTTGCCGGCGTTCAGTCGGTGAGCGTGGTCCAAAAACAGCCGTTCACAGAGCAGCAGCACTGTGAGCAGAGCTGAAGGCACAGTCACTGTTTATGTTTCATCAACTAAAACATTTGAAAGTTTTAAAACATTTAAAATGACCTTACTCTCTTCACTGGTCTGAGAGAGGAACTTTTCTGTGGTGAACAACAACTTCTTCTCATCTAAGATCAGGTTCCAAAAGCTGGTGAATTTAGTTTCTAAAAAATAAAAACATTTTTTTATTACCTTAACTCATCGATGCTCCATAAGAGAATGACTGGAACTACAGGCGCACCTGTTTGTGTCTCAAGTAAAGCCAGTCGACTCAGAAGAACAGAAGCTGCCACACCCTCGGCGAGCAGAGCATGCTGGGAGTTTTGAGCTGCAGCTTTCTCCACAGTTTGGAGGAGCAGGGGTATGAAGTCTGAAGCTTGGCTTAAAGTGTCACCTACAGAAGGGCAGATTAAAAATGGGCCTGACTGCAGGTGAAAAGAGCGGCACATCGAACACAACTCTGTCAGTCTGACTGACCTTTGAAGGCCCCCAGCATGGCCTGAAGGTAGGCGTGTCGGACCAGGGAGGTGGAGGTCTTCAGAGTGAAAGCTTTCTTCAAGCAGTCGAGCAGAGCGGCAGGAACCTCCACTGTGAGACGGCTGCTCCACTGAGCCAGCACAGACACTGCATGCACCAAGGTGCCCTCGTGAACTGAAAACAAAGGAACGTTAGCTTGAGACTAACGTCTAAAAGTCCTTCCAGGACCACCACCTGCAGACAGAAGCAGGGGAGGAGCAGACACACCTTCTTGTTGTAAATACGGGATGAACATCACAGCGACAGAGGAGCTGAGAGTCTGGCTGGAGGTTCCTGACACCGCGTGATGACTGCAGCTGGCAATCCCTGTGGGGAAAAAAAACTTTTAACAATTCAACTTCATTTATTTCTCATTTTTCTATTTCGGGAGGAGTCGGTGCTTTACAAAGACCTCTCACCTGACAGCACGCTCATTTTTTGGGCAACAACTGTGAGCTTCCCCTCAGACCCTGCAAGCAGAAGAACAAGACTTCAGGTCAGAACAACAGACAGATGAAGGCCAAGCATTCCTCGAAGGAAATGCACATCACCCACCTTCTTACAAAACAGAGTTTTTGACTAAAATCACTATTAAACTAAAAAATTGACTAATAGATGTCTTTAAATTTCTTAAGTTTCAATGAGAAGAAGACTGAAATCATGTTGTTTCCTCCTAATGGCACGATCAGGAACCACTGCATCACCTTTCCTCTCTAGCCCCGTTAGAGAAGAGTCACTAATCTGGGTGTGAAACTGGACCCTTCCACGAAACTTAACAGTCATGTAAACATGATTGTTAAAACCAGTTCTTCCTTGTTCAGTTCAGGTGACTGTCGAAATGGAAGCCCATACTGTCTAAAAGTAACACTGAGACAGTAACACGTGCAACACCGCCCCCTACGGTCATACGGTGGTCACATAATATGACGTCACTACGGATACTCGATGTTAAATTTTTAACCTCGATAGATGTCCTAGCAATCGATGTGTAGATTACTCGAGTACTCTGTTAATGCCCTACTTTTAATGGTTCCACTCACACGTTTCAAGCTCAGAGGTGACAGGGCCTTCTCTGTTGCAGGTCTAAAACTGTGGAATGAGTTACCACTGCATGTCAGACAGGCTCCCTCGCTTACGGTCTTTAAGTGTTGTTTAAAAACTCACTTTTATTCCCAGTCTTTTGACACTGAGTGAGTTGATTTGAACTGGTCTGTATTTTATAATGTTAGTCATTTAGTTCCATCTTTACCTCTGTGTGATCTATGTATTTTATCCTGTGTCCTTTGCTTGTTTTGTTTCTGCTGCTGTACAGCACTTTGGTTGGCCTTGTTGATGTTTTAGGTACTTTATAAATAAAGTGGTATGGTATGGTAAAATCCTCTTAGAATGCTCGGCTTTTAACCGGAACTCGTAGGTCTGAACATATTACTCCAGTTCTGTCCTCCCTTCACTGGCTCCCTGTTCGTACGAGGATAGTCTTTAAAATGATTCTGTTGACCTTCAAATGCTTAAATGGCCTCGCACCCCTTTACCTCTCTGAGCTTCTGGAACCTTACGTTCCCTCTCGGGCCCTGAGATCATCCGATCAGCTGCTTTTGGCTGTTCCAAAAACAAGAATGAAGCTCAGAGGAGATCGGGCTTTTTCAGTCATGGGCCCCAAACTGTGGAACAACCTGCCCCCCAACATCAGGCAGGCCACCTCCCTTACTCACTTCAAATCTCTGCTAAAAACACATCTGTTCTTTCAGGCATTTCATACAGTGTAAACTGATAGTGTTTTTTTTTTTTATCTGTGACCCTATGTTTTAAATGCTTTTTATTAATTCTTCAGTTATTATTATTAGTGTATTGTATTTTTTTCTCTTTAATTTTACTCTCATTGATTGTTGTTGTTGTTAAGCACTTTGATAACAGGTTCTGTTTTAAATGTGCTCTATAAATAAAGTTGACTTGACTTAGAATGAGAGAAGACAAAGTTATAACTAGGATATGACAATATCATTCATGATATGACTCTCAGCTACTACCACATCAATGTTTAGCTAAATGTCTGTAAAAAGACTGTTGTAGCCATTACTGTGTTGACTAAGGTTGCTTAGCTGTGGCGGCCATCTTGAATCAGGTTGACTCCACAAGTTAAAAACTTGTAGATGTACATCCAATGATCAAACACCAAAGTTCATGCTCAATAATCCAGGTAAAAATCCAACAATGCTCAGTCAGGTCATCTGGACATTTTTTTTTTTATTGCTGAGATGTTTCGTCCTTCATCCAAAGGACTTCTTCAATCTGAAGAGCCACCAAAACTTTGGAAGGAGGACAAAACGTCTCAGCAAAAAAATTAACCGTCCAGACGACCTGACTGAACATCGTTACATCCAATGATATTTTTCCAAAAGTTTCAGTAACATCTGTCCAGTGGTTTAGGAGATATGTTGCTAAAAGACACGTGTAAAAACATTGCTCGTTTTGCCTGCGGGTGAGAATCAGGACAATGTCCTCCTCTACTGATCTCACCTCCGAGGATCTTGAAAAGGTGCGTGACAATATCCTGCACAGCGGTGGGATCACTGCACTGCCGGACCAGGTTCTGCATGCCCTGGACCGCTTCCTCCATCAGCTGGGCGTTGTTGGCTTTCAGCTGGCCTGGAACACAGAAATATTTCAACAGACTAAGTACTTCCCCCCGACAGCTGAGCATCAAGTTAAGACTCAGTTGTGTCTTACTCGATACAGCCTTTCCAATGTCCATGGCATACTGACTGAGATCCAGAGTTACAGCAGACAGCAGGCAGGAAACGGCTGCAGAGACACAACACATTCATGCTCATCATGACTACACAGGAGAGGTCAAACACCACCGAGAGACAAAGTGTCTCACTTTGCATAGCGTTCTCTGGACTGCGAAGCATCGTCTTCTGCATGGCAGGCAGCAGCAGTTCTTTAAAGTCAGGATGGGTCATGTGACGCAGCAACGAGGCACTTTTGTCCAAAATGTGCTGCTGCGGTTTTGTTTTGCTCATGAGAACTGATTTAATGTAGAGGTCCAGCAGGGCGCTCTGAGAAACAGAAGACACAAAGACGTTGGACATCACTGCTGGACTGAAAGATGAGAGCCGAGGAAACAAACATCTATTCACCTTGTGCTTCTCTATTGTAGCTTTGTCCTTCTGAGCTGTGCAGAAGTCCAAACACACTCCCAACATGGCCAGAGATGTTGGGCTCTGATCCAGAGTCAGCAGAGTGCTGATGTAGTGGTCAACCAGTCCAGGCTTCTGGTGGAAACAAACTAAATATTAGGCCGATCAACAGTCCTCTGTGCTGTCAGAACAGTCAAGGATCAATAACTGAGATTGTATTGTTGCATATTGCTCCTTAGAGAAGCGGCATGTCTTAAAGATCTTCTCAGTTATTAAAAAGCACCACTTGCAGGTTTTAAACAGACAGTGGATTGTTATGTGGTTATGCCCTACTTGTCATATTGCTCAGAAATATGGGGAAATGCAAATAAAACTACTATTGACGTATTAATAAAGTTACAAAAAAAAAAGCAATTAGGCTTATTAATTAAGTGGGATATTGTGAACCAACTAATAAACTTTTTATTCAAAGAAATACTTTAAAATTTAATGACACTGTTTATATAAAAATAATAGAAATGTTTAAAGCACTGAATAAAAGTATTCCTTCTGGAATTCAGAAATTATTTAAGTTAAGAGAGTAAATATAATTTATGAGGTTTGTTAATATTTGAACAAGCTAAAGAGAAAAGTAAAGTAAAATCTAAATGTACTTCAGTTGTCGGTGTGAAACTGTGGAATGAACTGGACAATGATCTCAAATTATATGCTTTTTTGGCGAGCTTTAAAAGAGCCTTAAATGTAAAATTATAAAGGCTTAACTGTTATGTAGATGTATATATGTATTGTGTAACCATGTATGTAATGTGAGTATGTGTATGTATAATATACATGGATATTTAAATATATGGTAAATGTCTGTATGTGTACTTCTGTATGTTTGTGGACAGTAGATATCTGTCATTACGACTGCTGAGTCTATGAACAGGGTAAAGTATCAGCTTTGGCTTCAGCCTATTCCTTTTTTTAGTAAATGGTTGATTTACCATTTTATATTGTTTTCCTTTTTTGTAATGTTTTTAATTTACCAAAAATAATGAAAAATAAAGTTGAGTTGTGAGACACCAAATGACTTCACTGAGCTCAGAAATGTTTCACTGTGATATAAATAAACCACTCGGAGAAGCCAGAACACAAAGACGCTGCTTGGTTTGTCTCAAAGCTCTTGTTCTTGAAACTGACTTTGAATTTTCCTCCATTATGAAAGATGACTGGCGGTCAGAAAAATGTCCACAAAGTGCATGTCAGATGTGTCAATATCTCACTTTTAACATTGCTACAAAATTATGTTTTACGGTTTTATAAACTGATTTAATATTAACTAGAGAAACTACATTTCCTGCAAAAATGCAGTGTGAATACTTGTTGCAGAAGAACTTGCTGAAAAACAGCTGAAATTCGCTAAAAAAAAAACATGCTAGATGTAAGAACAAACCATTGAAAGCAGAAAGAACACATTCAATTCAATTCAAAAATACTTTATTAATCCCAAAGGGAAATTATTTGTTGTTGTAACTCGTTATCCTCATTTCATTAAGAGATGTTATAGATACTGAGGCTGTAGGCAGGAAGGATCTCTTGTAAAGGTCCATTCCACAGTGGATCCTAACAAACTGGCTGCAGATGCCATCCGATCCGTCCACCCAGACTCGGCTGGCCTCTCGGTTCCACCGGGCTGTAGGACCACCTGAATGCTGGGCAGAGCTCCTCCCAGAGCGATGGCCACTCCTCCCAGCAGTCTGCCGAGCTCCTCGTGTCTGCGGACAGCCAACTGTAGGTGCCGAAAGACAATCCTGTACTTCTGCTGTCATGAGCCGTGTTTCCTGCTAGTTCCAGGATCTCAGTGGTCAGGTACTCGAGCACAGCTGGCAGGTAGATGAGAATGCATCCACAGAACATCCTTTTCAACTCATCTGAGATTTGGGGCTGTAGTTGAGATATTATTTGAGCTTTTGAGATGTTAATCAGCTGCTGTTGGTTGTAGAAAACTGCATTGTTGCCATGGTTACGCATCATGACAAATGTCCAAAACTAAAAAAGTTTCAGTAAAAATCCTTCCAGCTGCACAGCGTCTGATACCAGAGGAAACAATCATCCAAAAAATCTGATTTACATCCAAAAAAACAGGAATAAAAAAAAATCTCAGAATGAAATTAACAGAGCTGCTCCAACATGCAGCCACCTTGAGCGGCGCAATTCTAGAATATATGTATATTCACATATTTGCTGAATTAGCTTTAAATAAGCAGAAATAAGCACAAAAATTAGGAAATCAGCTAAAAATCTGAAATTGGCAGAAAATAGTTGAAACGTAGCCAAAAAAGGCAGAAAAAAGCTTAAACTACAAGAAGGACGCAAAAATAGCTCATATGAACTAAAAAAATGTGGAATTACATTTAAAAAAAAAAAGCTAAAATTAGCATAAAACTGTTAAAATAGTAGCTGAAATAACAGAAAAAGCTGGAACTTGCAGAAATAAGCTATAAGGATCATAACAAGTTGAAATTAGCTGAAAGAAGTTAGAAGAAGCCCAAAAATGTTGTAGTTAGCAGAAATAATTTGAAAGGAGCACAAAACAGCTGAAAAATACAGCTGAAATTAGCTAAAAGTAGATGAAAAAAGTTAAAATTTGCACAAGAAAGCTGAAAGAAGCTGAACCAGAACAAAATGTGAAAGGAGCAGTAAAAGGTTGTAAACAGATCTAAAGAACTGAAGGATGTAAAATGAGCTCAAATCATTTTCTAAGAGGAAAAAAGTGGCAGAAAAGGCTAAATAGTTAAAAAAGCTAAAGTTGCACCAATACCAAACGTCATAGCACCCTTTTCCTGAAAGAGATGAACATTTTGATATATGATTTGTTGAAATAGCACAAAAACTGTTGAACGAGAAAGATGCCGAAAAACGTACAGAAGAAAAATGGATCACAATAGTGTGAGTGCTTCATAAACGTTCACACTATTATATCAAACATTTGGTTGCCATGTCAAAATCCAAGATGGCCACTGCCATATTTTTTTTTATTATTAATAAACACACAGAACTACAGAACACTACAAAATAGAAAGACATATACAAACACTTGTGAAGGGTGTCATAACTACAGTTTACAAGCTGGGGGGGTTACAAAATGATGAAAATTGAGAAACACATATATAAAAAACACAAATGAAAAAAGAAACAAAAAGGAGCAAGACAATATGAGAAACTTAAAACAACAAGTTTTTAGCTATCTGGTGTGAGATGGTTCTAGCATTTTCCAGTTTTTAATCTACCCAATGAAGAATAGTACGACTTGAATTTGTTCATAAAACACGGGAAGGAGGACTTATTATCCCTCCATTTACTACAATGAATGTGGTACTTTGCTAGAAGGATGACTGTATTTATGGCATCAGACACTGCCTGGCCAAAAAAAAAAAAAAACTCAACCCCTGGATGTAACTAAGCAAATAAGTACGAGCTTCCTACTGGATTATTACTGCATGGGTGATTATCTTTCAGCTGCAACAAGTTACTTAACTCCAACTGGTGCAATGAGTTGCTTCTCATTTCTTAAACAACCATGTCAAAGACACATCGCGTGGTCGTGAAAAAGATGTCCGTCTGTTTGAGAAGGGTCAAATCATTGGCATCAAGCAGAGAAAACATCTAAGGAGATTGAAGAAACTACTAAAACTGGGTTAAGAACTGTTAAACGCATTATTAAAAACTAGAAGGATAGTGGGGACCCATCGTCTTCAAGGAAGAAATGTGGCCGGAAAAAAAAATCCTGAATATCGTGATCAGCGATCACTTAAACATTTGGTGAAATCAAATGGAAGAAAAACAGCAGGAGCACTCAGGGCTGTGTTTAATAGTGAATGTAAGAACATTTCCACATGCACAATGTGCAGAAGTCAAGAAAACCACTAATCAGTGAGGCTAACTGGGAAAAAAGCATAAAGATTGGACTCTGGAGCAATGGAAGAAGGTCATGTGGTCTGATGAGTCCAGATTGACCCTGTTCCAGAGTGATGGGTGCATCAGGGTAAGAAGAGAGGCAGGTGAACTGATGCACCCATCATGCCTAGTGTCATCAATGCAAGTTATTGGTGAAAAATTTATGCAACACAGGATGGAAATAGATCTTGTGACATTGCAGAAGCTTAAAAACAAAGTCACAGAGAATGTATGATGTAATCAAACCTAAAGGCGATCCAATGAAATATTAAGTGTGTGACCTTTTTTTTGGTGACAACTTTTTTTTTGGCCTGGCACTGTACATATGTGTGTGTGTGTGTATTTATAGTTAAACAGGATCAAAATGTGAACTGAAGGAAACTCACCTCTTCCCAGAGGTGACTTAGATTCTTCAGCATTGCTTTATTTGCCATGGTCTTGGCTCCGCCCACCACCTCGGCTACAAGAAGGGACTGAACCTCCACCTGAAGGAAAGGACAGCAGCTCACACAGACACCCAGACTTTACAGACTTCACATTTACAATCGCTTTTATTTCAGTTTGGAAACAGTCACAAAATGCTCTTTCACTGACCATTTTCTTCCATATGGGTCCTTCTCTTTTCTCCGGGGCAGAAAACACTTTGTGGACTAAAAGGCAGGTCCAAGACAAGCTGATAAAGGCAGCAGAGCCTGAGCTTTTACTGAAAATAAAATGCAAATAAATGAATTTAAAAAACATGTTAACCTCCAACCAACACAGATTTCTCAGCACATTTGTAAATTTCCACTTCATAAGTTAGTAACATTTTCTCCATTTATGTTTTTTATAGGTTAGTTTCTATTAAAAAAAAAAAGTTCCAAAAATCAGGCACTACAGGAGTTTTGCGTCCCTCTGCCTGTCGAACATGTAAAAGTGTAAAAGTGTAATCCCGTCAGTTTTATGATGAAGCTTCAGCTCTTCTCTGTAAATGCAGGAATGAACAAACATTGGGCGTACCTGGGCTCCCCGTGTCTACTGATGACTCCACTGTTCAGGAGGCAGAGGAGGAGGCTGCTCACCAAGACATCAGGCTGACTCTCAGCCAGCAGGCCGATCACAGAGAGCAGCTCTCTACGTGATGCAGCATCCCTGCTCAAAACACACGTCCATATAAATCTACTGAAAACAAGCGCACGGAGGAGGAATGTTTTGTGCTCACTTTGGTTTTTGCTCGTAAACCTACCAGTATCTGTGTGGAGTGAGACAGAAGAGCTTACACAGACCTTTGACAGCAGGCTCTGGTAATTCTTTAAGCAAACATTTAACAGAAAAAGTTATCACTGATCGAAGCAGCTTGAAACATTACAGACCAGAGGATAATGAAAAAGAGATTCTTACCTTTACCCTTCAAACACCGTCTCAACTCTCCATATATTTCCTTGCGCTCCTTAACGCTGGAGGAAGTCACTTTCACAGCAAATTTCTTCAGCGTGTCGGAAACCTAAAATAAAGAGAAAAAAGTCACGTCAGAATGAAAACAGAAACACTTTGAGAGCTGTCATCATGAACAACGGAGAAACTGCGAGTCGACTGACACGTTGATGCTGAGACAAGAAAAGGATCTTCATCAAAACGTTTGAACGTCTCTGACTTGAACTGGTCACAGAAAGACGACTTCAAACAAACAGAGGAGTCTAGTACCAGCTCCACCGACACACTTAGCAAAAAACCCAAGGTAAGATAAAACCGCATTTAGACACATAAATACCGTCTTCTCTCTGTGGGAAAAGGAAATGGCAGTAAGCATAAAAAGATTACTGTCACAAACATCACTTACAGGAAAAACAGAACGTTAGCCAAGACTCCGTTGTCTTTAAGGTCATAGTCTTTAAAATCACTGATTCTAATAAACGCCTCCATTTTATTAGGAGAGAAATAACAAATACAAAAGTATTGCACACTACACATTATTCGCCCGGTGATTAAAGCAGGGGTGATTAAAAGTGATTAAAAGTGTGCACAACACTCCTTCTAGTGATGATAAACAGGTGTGTGAAGTTTTGTTAAGTTATCTTGAGCAGATCAGAAGTTATGGGCCGGACAAGAGAAGGTTTATGGACATATGGAGACCATACCATAATATGCCTCATCTTCGACGGGCGAATGAAGTCTGATGGTAAATGGACTGTACTGTGTATAGAAACTTTCTATCTTATCGACACTCAAAGCTCTTCACAACACAATCTGTGTCCTCATTTACACATTCATACAGCTCTACACTAGATCTACTAGATCTCTACAAGATAATCAGAACTTTATCACATTCATTCACTGATGGGACACATGGGAGGCAACGAGGGGTTCAGTGTTTTGACCAGGGACACTTCAGCATGTGACTGCTGGTGGAATCAAACCCATCTCTTGCATCGGAGAACAACTGATCTAACCGCTCAGCCACAGTGCCCTAAAAGCCCACTCAAAAAAAAAAAAAAAAGGTTAAGATGCATAAAAAAAACTTTACATAATGCACATAACATTTCTAAAGACACAATCATCTGGTGACAAGTGAGGATTTCAGGACCACGTAAAACAAAGCAACAAGATTTCTGCATGGAGGGAAATCTCAAGAAGGGCCAGGATCATTTTCTTTGGCTGCTCATGACCTTAGAGCCTCAGGTGGCACTGAAACAACGACTCCTGCGTGATCAGGACTACCACGTGGGTTTGGAAGGCACACGCTGCTGCTGCATCCAGAAATAAAACCTATAGAACTTGTATTCACTCCCTTTGCTTCAAAGACTGATGCACCCATCCAACTTGAAGAAGCCAGAGCATTTTTGTGATGAATAATAATCAAAAATTGCAGTGGCTAAATATATGCATATATCAAGGTGACATCATTTCCTGTTGTGTCAGATATACTTCCCCACATTCAACAATGTGTCCTCACAGACCTGTCTGCAGCAGCAAACACCACATTCTTCTTCCAGCTGCTCCCTCTTCAGGGCTCCCCAGAGTCAACCTCCTCCATCTACCTCCATGTCCTCTCTGACTGCATCCATACGTCTCCTCGTTGACCTTCCTCCTCCTTTATCTTTTCTAAATACAACAGGTGTGTTCTGCGTAGAGCATAGCCTCTCTTACCTTCTGTTTCAACAACAACAGAAAAGAAACTGTCCAGATGAGCTGACTGAACATGGATGGAGTTTTTTTACCTGGATTATTGAGCATGAACCTTGATTTTCTTCTGTTTGTTTAAACATAATAACAACAACAAAAACCGATATGTTGCATTTTAGACATGCTAAAACCAAAGAACTGTTCATGTCTTGTTACTGACCAACATGCTGTATCT